AGAACCTCACTTCTTCAGATGCAAGGGAAGATGCACTTCTTGCATCTGAAGAAGTGAGGTTCTTACCCACGAAAGCTTATGCTCCCAGTACTTCTGTTAGTCTCAAAGGTGCCACAGGACCCTCTGTTGCTTAACACAGACTCATTGACTTGGATGCTGCTCCAGCGACCTACATCAGCTGGGAATCTGGCCCATAACGTTTCAAAGATCTACGGCATTGGCGTCGTTTGAAAGTGTTTCTTAATTAAAATGATGAGGGGGAAAGATTTTTCAAAGCAGTTTTCACCAGTGTATTTCCAGGGCAGTCGTGACTGTCCAGTGGAATTGTACTATTACAGGGAACTCCGTCTTCTGAACTAACCTGTATTCAGCATATTCTGGATTGCACAGGGACCTGATCCCATACCGGTCATACATGGAGGATTTTCATGATGACAGCATCTAGACACCCTGGCCAGGATCAGAGCCCATGGAGCTAGGTGCTGCACGTACACAAAGGGAGAGACGGGCCCCGCCCCCAGAAGCTCACAGTCCAAATAGACAAGGCGGACAAGAGTCAGAGAGAGTGGAAGTGACGTGTCCAAGGTCCCCCAGCAGGTCAGCGACCGAGCCCGGAATAGCACCAGGGCTTGAGTCCCACTCCCGGGCCCTAGCCAGGAGCAGAGCTAGGTTTTGCAGCTAGAGGTGGCGATGGGTACTTGGTGATGGGCTGGAGAATGAGCCTACCCTACACTCACCCAGCAGCAGCAGCTCCTGTCCTGCAGGACTGGGCCTGGCTCCCCGCTCCGGGTGATTTGACCTGGTGCACGGGGCTGCAGTGCCATTCGGGTGTGACCCATCACGATGACGGGGCAGCTGGCTCAAATTTGAGTGGATGCTGTTGCAAGCTGGTCACAGGGTTGCAGCACCATACAAGCCTATTGCCATCTCACAACACCTGGAGTGGGGAGCTGGGCCCAGCCTCGTGGGATGGGAGCTTCCAAGGCCGGCTGAGTGCTGGGTGGACTCGCTCTCCAACCCTGCCTTGGCCACATGAACACACTGCCTGTGGTACCCACACACCACACCCTACTGCCACCCTTACTCATGCTGGGCCAGGTCCTCAACTGATGGAAACTGGTGTAACTCCACTGAAGTCAATGGAGCAAGACCGATTTACACCAGCTGAGGATCTGGCCTGTTGGGCAGTAACTTAGGGTTCAGTCCTGCCCATCCTGAAATCAGTGGCAAAACCCCCGTTCATTTTAATGGGGTCGGATTGGGCCCTTCCTCTGTGAATTGCTCCAATGAAATAAATAGGATTAGTTGTGTAGGAAAGTCCTGTTCAACGTGATCATGAGCAAGAACCTAATCCTTAATAGCTGTCCAAGCTCATCTCCTGCCACCAATGTTCATGTAGCAGGTGTTTTCCAAGAGCTTCAGTGCATGTCGTGGGCCAGATCCTCATCTAGGAGAAGCCAACAGAGCTCATGAGACCTCATCTCTTCCAACTGTGCTAGCAACTCCATGAAGAGGATCCTCAGTCAGGAGCTGGCAGCCAGACTCCGAGCTGATGTCATGGGAATAAATCTGTGCTCCGATCCAGTGACCTGTCCTTAAACGCTTCAGGATCTTGGATGAGCTTGTTCTACTGATCCAGGGCTCCCAGAACCTGACAACTAGCAGGGCTCTGCCAGTTGTCCTGTCACAGAACACGACCCAGAAACCCTTCACATCAGGATTGGTTGATGCTGGGCTGTGCAGAGTTGACACTGATCCTGGGCTTTGACATTCCAGCCCAGCTACCGACCAGACAGAGAGCTGCAAACCACACAAATCCACCGGATTTTGCTACTCTTCTACTAGGCTTGAAATTAGGGTGCTGAGTGGTGATGTGCATTTGCAAAACCACCTCCCAGTTAACATGCCCGAGGACAAACAGAAATTTGACGCTAATCCCACCAGCAGGAAGCACTGGCCTTCACATCCCACCCTCTCCATAGTGGCAGAGGTATGGGCTGTCTGCCAGACAGAGACACTCACTTGTGGGAATGTGCATACATAACATAAATGACACTGGCTCAAAGACTGCGGGCCCCAACCTGCTCCCACTGAAGTCAGTGATTTTCTCCGTTTGGCTTCATGAGTGTTAGATCTGTCCTGTGTTGGTGTCTGGGAATATTTAAGACTTTCTTCTTTACCTTTTCTTTTATTTCCTTTTTCTCAGCCTCTCTTTTGGTTTCCTTCTTAAAAGGAAGCAAGCGAGCAATTTTCTTGAAAAAAAAAAACACTTTCCAAAGAGCCCATATTCTTTCTAATATTGCAGGGGGCCTCGCATGTTCCCCTGAAGCAGCTGGTGCTAGACCCCCCACTTTCACCAGTTTTACACCAGAATAGCTCCACTGAACTCAATGGAGTCTCTCCTGATTTACATCACAGGCGTTAGAGGGGAATCAGGCCCAATGGAGTTACTCTTGACTGACACCGGGGTGAATGAGAAGAGAAAACGAAAACCGTGGAGAGACAATACACAACAAGAAATACCAATAACATTTTCTGGCACTGACATAGAAGATGTCGGCACTTCACATATCTTGACAGCATTATAAGCAGATCAGGAGGAACAGACGAAGACATTAAAGCCAGCATAGCAAAAGCCAACCTGGAGAAATGGAAATCTTGCCCTCCAAACTAAACTTTGAATAGTTAACACCCTTGTTAAGTCTGTCTTGCTATATGGTGCTGAAACATGGAGACTTACTAAGATCTTACCAGCTAAACTCTGGGTTTTTATAAACAGCTGCCTCAGACAAATCCTCAACCTCAGGTGAGCAGAAAAAAAAAATCACAAATGAAGAACTTTGGAGGAGGACAAAGCAGAAACTGATAGGCCAGGAAATTAAATGAAAACAGAGGTGGCTAGAATACACATGAAGGAACGACCCACACCACATAACAAGACAGGTGCTGGGCTGGAATTCCTGGGCAAGAGGCAACAAGGTAGACCAAGAACAACTGGGAAACACAACAGGAGCAGAACTGAAAGTCGCCCCGACGGCATGGGAAGAAGCTAAGACCGCGGCAAGAGATCGTCAAGCTGGAAGGCGCGGTGAAGGCCCTCTGCTCCACATGGAATAAAGAGGCACAAGTAAGTCAAGAACTAAGTAAGGATAAGAAAGTCAAGAATGAGAAGAGAATGAGGCCCAATAGAATTACTCCTGATTTACATGGGGTGAGAGAGAGAGAGAGAGAGAGAGAGAAACAAAGCCTTTTGTTTCCTTACAGATCTGTGCATGTCAACTCCATGGAGCTTTATCGGTAACAATAACCACTTTTTCCTCTCCTCCTTTCTGTTTATTCTGCCTTTTCTCCTTTTCTTCCACTGAAAAAGTGTGTGTGGGGGGGGACGGGGCTACCTCCTGCATCTGCAGTTTTCTCCCGGGTCCATTTGCCCAGACGCCCACTCCTGATCCGCTGACAGATCACTCTAGAGCACATTTCTGCATCCCCTTCGGGCTTTGCATTCTCTGCACTGCTCTTCCCGGTGACCTTTCCCTTTAGTCTCCCCTGTCCCACTCGCTTTCTCCTCTTCCCAGCCTTGGGGCCTTTCCACAGGGCTTATGCCAGAAGGGCTCATTTGATGGTCTAGTCCAGTGATTCTCAAACATTTGCATTGGTGACCCCTTTCACACAGCAAGCCTCTGAATGCGACCCCCCCTTATACATTAAAAACACACATTTTTATATTAAACACTTGCAAATGCTGGTTTGAGGGTGGAGGCTGACAGCTCGCGACTCCCACGCAATAACCTCACGACCCCCAGTTTGAGAATCC